GTTTGTCTATGTTTCTGTGAGATGTGTCAGGAGCAAACAACATCCCCAGCTAAATTAGCCAGTACACTGTGGTGAAGCGTTTCTGCAGCCTTGAGTTTACTCCTGTCTCTGAAGCCAGGAGGAGAAGCTGATGCCTCTGGAGATGCTGGAGTGACAGGAGTGGGTCTAGGCACTGCACCACACCACACACACACACACTCACACGCGCACACACACACACTAACACTCACTCACACACATTCATACTCACACACTCACACACATATACACTCAACACTCTCACACACACCCACACACTCACACTCACACACAACACCCACACACTCACACTCACACACAGCACACACACACTCGCACACACACACTCACACACTCACACACATTCTCTCTCTTACACACACACTCTGTCTCTCTCTCTTACATACACACACACACTCACACACACACACTCTCTCTCTTACACACACACTCTCTCTCTCTCTTACACACACACACACACACACACACACACACGATCCCATGTATATACGGAACACATATCTCCTCACACCTGAAAAGTCAAACAAGAAAAAATAAATAAATGGTACCGTATGCGTGCACGAATGACTCGAGAACCCATAGGGCGGTTGCTTTGGAATCGGAGTGGGGAGAACTCTGGGGGATTGACCCTAAAGAGGGAGCAGTCTGGTGGTGGGAATGCTCAGGTCTGGACTGCATATGGCGTGCATGTGCCTGCACTTCTGGGAGAACCCTGCATACCTCCGATCCGATGCTCTAAGTTACCTCCCAATCACAGAACAGTACTGAATCCATGTGTGGGCTCATCTAGCCAGCTGGGAAGAATTAAGATCAGTTTTGCAGATTAAAAACCCTGAGTTTTGGAATAACACTGAAATGTCAGTGTTTGACAATGATGAGACATAGAGCTTGGCCATGTGCACTGCGAAATCCTTCCAGGTCTCTAGTGTAGGGGTGGGAAGTGATTTCCTCCCGAGCCCTCTGTGATACCCAGAGGCGATGGATGGTGAAGCCCTCACTTCTTCCCTGTGGCTGTGTAGAAATCACTCTGACACAAGCAAGCTCATTTCATCTATGTGACCTCCAGGTTACTGTAGTCCCTAAGGGAGTGGGGGCAGAACCATGGAGGAGTGCGGCTTGCTGGCTTGCTCAGATCGTTTTCTGATATAGCCCAGGCCCTCCGGCCTAGGACTGGTGTCACCCACGGTGGGCTGGACCCTCCCACACCAATGGACTTTAAGACAAATGCCACAGGCCAATCTGACCAGGGCAGTCCTTCCCTCGATTGAGACTCCCTCTTTAGGTGACCCTAGATAACATGCGAAGAGGACTTAAGACAAAACACAAGTTATCTGTGGGCAAGTTTCAGTCCTGTTAAGTCTTTACGAGGCAGAGAAATTAACTTTCAGTTTGTGCAGCTTCAGTGTCACACAAATTTCTCACAGCTTTCCACTGTTCTGAAACTGGTGAGAGACACTTGGCGTCTTCCCAATCGATGCTCTGATTTCAGGGTTCTCCCATGGAATTGGGGTTCCCTCTATAAGCACTTTCTCTCTCTCTCCTCTCTCCCTCCCTCCCTCCCTCCTTCCTTCCTCCCCCCTCTCTCTTTCTCTGTGTGTGTGTGTCAGAGAAAGAGAGAGGAGAGAGGAGAGAGAGAGAGAGAGAGAGAGAGAGAGAGAGAGAGAGAGAGAGAGAGGTCTCCATATACCCTGGCTGTCCTGGACTCATTATGTAGACCAGGCTAGGTTTGAACTCACAGAGACCCACCTACCTTTACCTCCCAAGACCTGGTACTAAAGTCATGTGCCACCACACCTGATTGTCTTTATTTTTTAACATAACAATGATGTTTCCCATTTCCTCAAATCTTTCAACATACTATCAGCTCAAATTCTTGATGTGGAGTTAATTATTTGTTAAAAAAATTGAAATTATAGGCTGTTGATTTTTCCAGGGAATTAAAAGAACATGTGTTAACTGCTTAGCTGAAAAGCATTGAGTTTTTTTTTTTTTTGAAGACTGGTCACCTTGGACTTGTCTTCAAAGTCTAGAATTAGAAATTTCCCTGTGGTAAATTTCTGTGGTTTGTGCAGTGGATATGCAGTGTGCCTGTGATCTGTGCAGTGGATGTGGACACACTGTGTGCCTGTGATTTTGTACAGGGTAGGCTGATGTTTTTAAGCTGTAGAAGTTCACAGCATTAGCGTTTCTCACCACAAGTGAAAAATGCAGCGTCTTTTGAGTTGGAGACCTCTGAGGTGGCCGTACATGGAAACTCTGGAGAATTCTGTGGTCCACACGCTGCAGGCATGTGAGGACGTGGGCGGATGGGAATGTACCCTCCTGTCTTCCTGATGACTACATGTGTTACACATTAGGATGCTTTCAGCATCTGGATTTTAATTTGTTGGTGACAGGATCTATATTTGGGGGAAAGAATTGTCTAGGCTAACCTTCTTTACAACAGTCATTTGATTAAGTGGTTACTCTCTAAGCACATCTAAGTGAGATGCAGACACCATGGGTGCCCCGGATTTTTGTGTGAGCCAGGGGTAAGGTTAACAAAGGAGCCTGTTCTTCATTAGTGTGAGAAGCCATCTCAGAGAGACTAGCCCGTAAACTTACTCAGCAGTGGGGTAAAGGGACTGAAGACCATCATTGCCTGTGACCATCAGCATACCTGCAACACCTTGCCAAGTGTGGGCCGTGCAGTGCTTTGGGAACGACGGTTGGGTTGTTTGAGAGACCTGGACAGTGGATCCTCTGCCTTTTGACTATTCTCATGGAAAGCATCTTCAAGCTGCATCCACCTTTACCCAGTCTTGGGAACTCCAGTTATGTAATTTTTTAACACCCGCTTTTTGTGATCCAAGTAGCCATATAACAAAAATTTCCAGGACTTGAAAATGCAAACCCAAGTTCATTTCTGCCTGGAATATGCCCGTCAGAGAAATGGTCAGTGTTCCATGAACTCTAAATCACATCGCTGGGATTTTTACCTTTATTGTCTCAGCCAGTTGCACATTTGTAGAGGGTGGTGAATTCAGAGTGGCCACCATCTTTCCACAATCTGTTTGGGTGGAGCTATTATTGCTCATTGCCGTCCAGCCCATGGACATTCTTTTAAACGTCTTTTAAATCCTTTTAAAGTTGATTATTTGCGTCTTAATCCTGTGAGCATTTCCACAGTTTGCATTCTTCTGTTTAGTTTTGTTTTTGTTTTTTCGAGATAGGGTTTCTCTGTATTGCTTTGGAGCCTGTCCTGGAACTGGCTCTGTAGACCAGGCTGGCCTCGAACATAGAGATCTGCCTGCCTCTGCCTCCTGAGTGCTGGGGTTAAAGGTGCATATGTACCTCATTATTCCTCTTCCTCTCAGCTTACGCCCTCCGAATTTCTGGAACATTTTTTTTTTTGCTAAATGCTGAGGCCTTTCCTTCAGGCATAATTTCATGAACGCCCGAGAAGCCAAAGCCCACTGTTTGCAAAGAGGAGTTGACACTTGTCAAGTCCAGTTGCTTGTTGCGGGAGCTGAGATGTAGGAGACATGATGGGTCCTAAGTCATGAGAGTGACCGGGAGTTCCCTTGGCTGGCCGACTGCAGGTGTGGGTGCAAGTTGTGCTACATAGTGTGAGTGGAGAAAAACCAACAAAAGTCAAACCCAGAGGCAGCCCCTCGCTGGACATGTTTGTGTGAGTCATCTGTTTCTGTAGTGGCCTCAGATAAGGTAATTTTTCCTGGTTCTGAATAATAGATTTCTAGTCAGAGGAGATGAGTGGACACAAGCTTCTTGGAGAATTCGGGCTCCCCACCCCATGAGAAGTTGCTTACCTTTAATCGCACATCTAAACTCTTTTCACGTTATGAAAGCCTCATAGCCCTCGGTCTGAGTATTGAGGGAAGGTGCTCCAATAGGGCATCTGACAATTTGTGCGATCTTGGTACCCAGCCACGACCAATGCCTGCAATATTGGTAATTACTAAAACCATGAGTTTTTGCAAAAGACACCTTATTCTGTGGGCATCAAGACTCCAATCCTTCTCATTAAGGATATGCTTCAAAGGTATTTATTGGACTAAAAGATAAAAAAGGTGGTTTCGCTGTAGGGAAACCACAAAGGAAGTGAAAGCATTGGTGGCCCGCATACGTGTAAACATGCTTCTGACCCTCCACGGGAGGCCTGTTTAGAAAATATCCCTTGGCTGGGTCTGCTACCCATGATGTCTTTAGGGTTCACAGCTGACCTTCAGGGGCTCAAGTGAAGAGGTCTGCTTTAGTGTTTTGATCTCTAAGGCTCTCTTAAAAACAAAACAAAAATCAACTAAAACCTTTGAGACAATCCTTGTGGGCCACACTCAGTAAGGTGTTTACAGAGCAATGGTGGCTCTGTGCAGGGTGACTTCTGTAAGCAACGATGAGAGCCAGCGGCAGTCGGAGAAACCGCAGGGTGGATTCAGGGTCTCTCTGAGCTTCCCAAGAAGGCGTGTGCTCTTTGGATTTTTAAGTCTGCTTTTCCTTTGAAGCAGGCTCCTGTCATGTTGCCCAGGCTGGCCTAGAACTTTCTCCCTGTAGCCATTCTGCTCCAGCCTCTCAGGAAGAGTGATAGGCCGTCCCCTCTCCCTGGTCCCTCTAGATCTTAAACTTTAGGGTTGAAAAAATTTATAAGAGAGATAAGAGAACCATACTGATTTGCTCATAGGTACTCTGTCACGATCTTTGTTCCCCCAGTACAAACTTGCTGTATCTTAGAGATAAGACCATTTCTTTTTGTGGTTTTTTAAACCCTTCACACTGCTACATCCTAGCTTTTATAATAATGGATGCAAACATAAAAAAAAAAAAAAAAAAAACCAAGATGCATCGAGTTACATGTCGGGGTGTGAGGAACGCAGCCAAGCTCTCATGATATGGTTAACAAGCTGTGTGGATGCTGTGGCCACTCGGGTTTTACACGCAGTGACTCTATCCCCTTCTTGTGCCAGGCAACAATGTCATGAGGACCATCCACGGGGTAGGAGAGATGATGACTCAAATGGTGCTTAGCAGAGGCTCCATCTTCCCGGTGAGTGTGCCCGACGCACAGCCCAGCGCCCACCTGAGCAAGCAGGCAAGCCCCGGTGAGCAGGAGGACGTGACGGTGATGGACACCAAGCTGAAGGTCATCGAGATTCTACAGGTGTGTCCTGCAGCTTGACGCTAGCGGTGATGCTGCGTGGTCCCTTGGTTTCACTTAAGTGTTGGTGTGTGTGTGTGTGTGTACACGTGCGTGTGTGTACGTGCGTGTGGGATGCGTGTGTGTGCACGTGCGTGCATGCATGCATGTGGGGTGTGTGTGTGTGCACGTGTGTGCGTGTGTGCACGTGCATGAGTGCGTGCGTGTGGGGTGTGTGTGCACGTGCGTGAGTGCATGCGTGTGCGTGCATGTGTGTGCACGTGCGTGCATGCGTGTGGGGTGTGTGTGTGCACGTGCGTGTGTGCATGTGTGTGTGAGCCTGCAGCACAGGCTCACGTGGAACTTGTGTCAATCCTCCTGCCTCAGCTTCCTGAGTGCTGAGTTTCCAGATGTTAGGCACTGCATCTGGTTTCACTGTGCAAATGTATTATAATGCTATTGGTGTAATGTGATTCTGGAGTGTTATTGGCCTCATTTTAACCTGAAAAGCTATTGCCCCGTTTTATTGTTACTATTTTGAAGTCAAGGACAGAGCTGGCAATGCGTCTCACACCGTTGCTTCTTCGCATACGCATCCTGTCGATTTTTTGTCCCATGAAACACACTAGTGACATCTAGCAATTGCTTTGAGGGTGATAAATTGCTTTCCTGTGTGTTTATTATCAGCTAGTATTGACCCCGATTGAATATTTTCTTCATTTAAGAGAACTTTTTAAAGCAGGCATATCTAATGATGGAATTCTAATCATTTTCTGTTTTCGGTTGCTTGAAACTTATTAGTGAATTCCATGTACTATGATTTCCTGTTGTTATAGGAAACTCAAAAGTTTTATGTCAGACACGTTGGCATACACCTATAAATCCAGCACTCAGGAGGCGGAGGCAGGAAGATTTCTGTGAGTTCAAGGCCAGCCTGAACAAAGGAAGACCCTGCTTAATGCCCCCAAATCATCATTTACCAAACTTGTTAATTGTTGATTCTATTACTATACACAATCACCTGTCTTTGTGTTTCTAAGAGGCTAAGGATTTTTTTTTTCACATTAGCAAAGTTTAACACTTACAGTTTAATGAGCTCAGTTACTTCATGCATCAGACCTTCTGTGATTTCTAGCATGTTTTTGGTGGTGGGGGCGGTAACCCTGGGAAGCTTATGGTACCCTTTGTTGTAACGTTTATCCCAGAGTCAGGGAATGGAGCCTGCAGCTTCCCAGGCCGTCTCGAGAATGTGAACAGAATTTCCCACATCTTTCATCATCATCGTCTAACGTAGGCCAAGCTACCGGAAGTGGGTCAGCAGTCCTGGAAGGCCCCGTGCATTCTCCATTCTAAGTAATTAGATTTATAATCATAAAGCATTTCCCAGTTCCTCCAGGGTTTCCAAAGGCCAGGTCCCAAGAAATGTTGGCAGGGTTTCCTGTCCTGTGTTCATGGCCTTGAAACTTGGTGTAAGGCTTTATCCTGAAGCATGATGGATGACTGCTGAGTCATGCGACTCAACAGTGGCTTCAGCAATGGCGCCTCTCGCAGTGGCGGGAAAGTGGTGCTGTGTGGCTGCAGCCTGGCTCATTTCTGCCTCCTTCCAGCTCCTGAGGAATTTTTCTGAGCCTCTTTTGCTGTCTGACTGTCTGTCCACCCAGGGTCTCCTTTTCACAGTGTGATGCTGTCAGTCTGCTGACTTCTCAGAACATCCATTCCACAGGTCCTCAGTGGCGGAGGCTGCACTGGCTCTCTGCCAGCTCCTCCTCCTGAGGTGGGGGAGGGGCTGCCCTCTTTACCTCATGGGAGAACATGGTCTCAGTGAGTGTGATTTTATTCTTGCCCTCTGACCTGACTTACTGTCTGTGCCTCTACAAGTTTTTACATTTGTTTAATTTTCTAAGACAAGGTTTGTTCTGTATCCCTGACTGGCCCAGAGCTCACTGTGTAACATAGGCTGCTCTTGAACTTAGGGGAATCCTCCTGCCTCAGTCCCCCCAGTGAGCCACCATGCCTGGTCCTTCCCCTGCCTTGTTGTTATCTGCTATTTTTTTTTTAATCTTACACTACCTGCATCTTCATAATAAGACCAGAGGGGCAAAGGTTGTGGAATTATTCTGCGAGTTTTCATCTCCAGCAGATGTAAATGCTTCATTCATGTTTCATATTGAATTCTCTCCTCGGCCTTGGGGAATCTGAGCTTTAAAAATCTCCGTGTGTATTGAGCATCCATCGCCTAGTTCTGTCTCCACCCTCCTGCTTGAGGGGTGAGCCCCAGGCCTGTTATTAGTGTCCGTCTGCTCTGCACCCTGTAAATCCCCGTTCACTGGCGTCTCTTCATTCCCTGTGTACTCACAGGTATAAAGAGACACTTTATACCCCTCAAGCGCCACATTTACAACCTGCCCACCTTAAAATAGTATGCTAAAAAGGATTTGGAACTTCTGTGTGTAAGTGTGCGTGTGTGTGCATGTGTGTGCAAGTGTGTGTACATGTATGTGCGTGTGTGAGTGTGCATGTGTGTGCCTGTGTATGCATGTGTGTGTGCGTGCATGTGCATGTTGCGTGTGTGGGTGTGTATGTGTATACATGTGTAGGTGTGTATGTGCGTGCATGTGCGCGTGTGAGTGTGCATGTGTGTGTGCATGCGTGCGTGTGTGGGTGTGTATGTGTGCATGTGTGGGTGTGTATGTGTATACGTGTGTGCATGTGTGTGCATGTGTGTATGCATGTGTGTGCGTGTGCATGTGTATACATGTGTACGCGTGCATGTGTGTACATGTATGTGCGCGTGTGAGTGTGCGTGTGTGCATAGTATGTTCACATGAATGCATGTGTCTGCAGAAGCCAGAGTGTTGGACCCCTTGGAGCTGGAGTTACAGCTGGTTGTGTGTTATCTGACATGGTGCTGGGGACCAGACTCCAGTCCCTCACCTTTACTTAAGTTCTGGGCATGGAACCCCGGAGCCCAGGATTTCCTGGCAACAGCTTTACCCTCTGAGCCGTTTCCCCAGCCCGTGACCTGTGTCCAAGCGTGGTCTTAGCAGCGAGGCGCCTTTCAGGACCAGCTCATGGGGCTGAGCTTGCCGTGTTGCTCTTTCCAGTTCATCCTGAGCGTCAGGCTGGATTACCGGATCTCGTACATGCTGTCCATATACAAGAAGGAGTTTGGGGAGAACAATGACAATGGGAACGCCTCTGCCAGCGGATCCCCAGACACATTGCTGCCGTCAGGTACCTTCGCGATGGCATTGACCGCTTGCAGTTTACGTTCTTTTTAAATGCATCTTAAACAATACTTTTCATCCCTTGGAAACTTCTTGTATTTATGCAGTTATCCAGCCATCACTATCTCCCTCCAAGTCCCTCCCCCCACCTCACCGCCCTCCACAGTTTATTTCCTTGCTTTCGTTGTTGTTATTGACAGCCCTTGACTCCACTTAGGGCTGCCCATGTGAACTTGGACGTGTGGCTATTCGCTAGGGCACGGCCAACCTACCGATAGCCATGTCTTCAAAGAACAGTGACTCTCTGACCCTCAGCAGCCACCAGTTGCCAATATCCACGTTGGAGTTTTGGCTGGCCTGGTCTTGTGGAGGTGTCCTGGGCTGCTGTGAGTTGATGTGTGTGTGTGCCAGCCACATCATGGCTGACATCGGCGTCTCAAAGCACTCCTCCTCTTACATACTTTCTGCCAAGTCTTCTACAAAGTTCCCTGCGCCTTGGATGGTGGGAGGCTGGAGGTGACCCATCCCCGGCTGAGCACTCGGGGTTATTCATACTGTGTATTTTGGCCAGCTCTCTGCATTAACCATTACCCACGAAAAAAGAAGCTTCTCTGACCAGAGCTGGGGGCAGCGCAGATCTAAGCATGTAAACATAGATGCCTAGAAAGCTTCTTGGCAGCACAGGCATTTTACAACAGCAGCAGGTTCCACACTGGGGCCTCTGCTCTCCCCAGTCATAGGCTTTTGAGTAGACATTAATCCTTGCTGTTGTGCAGGCCTCATGTCCAATCAGAACGTGACTGGTAACGCCAATAGCCACCGTGGCACATCTCGGCATGTCAGTATTGAAATATACGGGGGCCGGCACTAGGTGAGATGGAAGTATTTTCGGCTTTGGGCTCTATGTAAATTAGCCAGCAGAAAGAGAGCTTCCTGCTCTGATAGGCTTGGTTTCTCTGTCTTGAATCCAAAGTCAGTGGTGTCTTCAGCAACTGGCGCTTGCCATTTAGTTTTGGTGGGCAAAAAGAGCAAACAATAATAGTCTGTGTTGTCCTGGGTGTCTGTGATGGATCAGTAACTCACAGGGAGGTAGTCTGTGCCTTGCACTGAGATTTTCATTTAAAATAACCCATGTTTTCTAGAAGCAGCACTGTCTACCCATGCAGGGGACTTCTGTTCAAATTCCATGTGTACATGTGTGTATACTCACATATATGTGTGTACATGTACAGGTGTGAAAAAAGCTTCTTTTTTCGTGGGTAATGGTTATATACACACACATATATATACACGTGTGCTTTTCATGCATGTGTGGTGTGCCTATGTTTATGCATATGTATGTACATATACATATGTGTGTATGTGTGTATGTGGCCCTGGGGGGTGGTGCCACCCACATTCACAGGGACTTCCCACCTCTTGGGCATCATCACAGGCACCCCCAGGTTTCCTTGGTGATTCTAAATTCAGCAGGTTGACAGTGATGGCCACCACAGCCATGGAATCCCTGCGCCCCAGGCCTCTTCAGCCGCAGCGGCAGAGCCGTAGTGTTTTGCACACTCTGTTCTTGCGGTGAAAATCTGAGAGCATTGCTCAAGCCTGGATCAAAGAGCAGCGTGAAGGGCGGCTGAGAGGGCAGCGTTTGTGGGGAAGCCAAGGTCAGCCGGAGAACAAGGAGGAGGAAGAGCCCCGAGGGCTCTTTATCTTAGGAATCCCACCTCACACGTAGACATTAGACTGTCTCTGAGAGTTGGAGCAAGGCTGTACAATTTGAGGCAGTAGGAAGGGATTTGTGAAGACTAAGAAATGTTGGCTCACCTTTTTCCTGGTTAGGCTATAAACTACATCTGAGGATGCAGCCAGTTAGTAAAGCTCTTCTGAGGCCCCCAGCGTGCAGACAGGAAACCCCTGGACAGTGTTAGGAGCCACGTCCTTCTCCAGCCCTCAGGTGGCCAGACGAGAACAGGTCATTGACTGCTAGTCTAGAGAGAATGGGGACAGACCAGTTGCCCCACGACCCACCTCTGCTTTGTGGGCAGCCTTCCCTGCAGACTGGCAGCCGCCCTTCCGCCCAGGCCAGGAGCCACCCCTGCACCACAGCATTTTCCCAGAAGCGCAGAACCCCAAAGGGCTGTTTCCAGGAACGATCGGGCAGAACCAGAAAGTCGTGCTGGCAGCTGCATTGACAGAGACGTAACAGTTATTGGCTCCCAGAAGCTAGACTTCTGGAAACACGAGCTCTGAGTGTCAGTAAAGTACCCAAGCAAAGGTTCTTAAAGGCACCCCAGAAGATCCTCTCTCTGATGGAGCCCCCTCCCCCGCCCTGAAACCTTTCTGAAGAGAATAGGATTTTGTGTCTCCCGTTCTTTTCGTGTTGCAGACGTGAGAAATACACAATCTATCATTTGGGCATGTTGTCTTAGTAAAAGTTTCTTCAAAATGGTGGTGGCAGAGGAAGGTGAGGACTTGTGGTTGGGTAGCACGGGAAGTGACCCTGCCCCGCTCTACGAGGAAAGGAGAAAGGATTTCTTTGGTCTTGAACTTGTTTTTATTGAGCTATACATTTCCCCCGTCCCTTCTCTCCTTCCCTCTCCCCTGTCCCCCATTCTCCCAATTTACTCAGGGGGTTTTGTCTTTTTCCCCTTCCTAGGCGGATCCATGTATGTCTCTCTGAGGGTCCTCTTGGTTACCTAGATTCTCTGGGGTTGTGGACCTTAGGCTGGTTGTCCTTTGCTTTATGTCTAGTATCCACTTATGAGTGAGAATATATTATATTTATCTTTCTGGGTCTGGGATACCTCACTCAGGATTTTTTTTTCTAGTTCCATCCATTTGCCTGCAAATTGCAAGATATTATTATTATTATTATTATTATTATTATTATTATTTATGACTGAGAAGTACTTCATCGTGTAAATGTACCACATTTTCTTTATCCATTCTTCAGTTGAGGGGCATCTAGGTTGCTTCCAGGTCCTGGCTATTACAAATAATGCAGTTATGAATATAATTCAGCAAATATTGTGTATTGTGAGAATGCATTTGTTTGGGTAAATGCCCAAAAGTGGTATTGCTGGGTATTGTGGTAGATTGATCCCCATTTTTCTGAGAAACCACAATACTGATTTCCATGGGGGTTGTAAACGTTTGCACTCCCACCAGCAGTGGAGGAGTGTTCCCCTTTCTATCCTCTCCAGCGTAAGCTGTCACTGGCGTTTTCATCATAGCCCTTCTGACAGGTATAAGATGGTGTCTCAGTGAAGTTTTGATTGCATTTCCCTGATGGCTAAGGATGTCGAGCTTTTTCTTAAGTGTCTTTAAGCCATTTGAAATTGTTTCTGTTGGGAATTCTCTGTTTAGATCTGTACCCCATTTTGAAAATAGATTATTTGGTAGTTTGATGTCTAGTTTCTTGAGTTCTTTGTATAGTTAGGAGATCAGCCCTGTGTCAGATGTGGGGTTGGTGAAGATCTTTTCCCAGTCTGTGGGCTGCCATTTTGTCTTGTTGACTGTGTCCTTTGCCTTACAGAAGCTTCTCAGTTTCAGGAGGCCCCATTTATTTATTGTTGATCTCAGTTTCTGTGCTACTGGTTTTATTTTTAGGAAGTGGTCTCCTGTGCCAATGTGTTCTAGGGTATTTTCCACTTTCTCTTCTTTAAGGTTCAGTGTGGTTGGGTTTATGCTGAGGTCTTCAATCCATTTGAACTTGAGTTGTGTGCATGACAGTAGATATGGATCTATTTGCATTCTTTTCTATGTTTACATCCAGTTATGCCAGCACCATTTGTTGAAGATGTTTTCTTTTCTCCATTATATAATTTTAGCTTCTTTGTCAAAAATCAGCTGTTAATGAGTGTGTGGATTGATATCTGGGTCTTTGATTTGATTCCATTGGTCTACCTGTCTGTTTCTGTGCCAGTACCAAGCTGTTTTCATTACTGTAGCTCTATAGTAGAGTTCGAAGTCAGGGATGGCAATGCCTCTGGATGTTCCTTTATTGTACAGGGTTGTTTTGGGTATCCTTGGTTTTTTGTTTTTCCATATGAAGTTGAGTATTGTTCTTTTGAGGTTTGTGAATAATTGAGCTGGGATTTTGATGGGGATTGCATTGAATCTGTAGATTGCTTTTGGTAAGATTGCCATTTTTTTTTTTTAAAACTACTGTTAATCTTACCTATCGAAGAGCATGGGAAATGTTTCTATTTTCTGATGCCTTCTTACATTTCTTTTTCCAAAGATTTAAAGTTCCTGTCATACAGGTCTTTCACTTGTTTTGTTAGAGTTACAAGATATTTTATGTTATTTGTGGCTATTGGGAAGGGTGATGTTTCCCTGATTTCTCTCTTGGCCCCTTTATCATTTGTATATCATAGAGCTACTGATTTTTTTTTAGTTAATCTTGTATTCTGCCATATTACTGAATGTGTTTATCAGATGTAGGAGTTCCCTGGTAGAATTTTTGGGGTCTCTCATCTATACTATCAAATCGAAAGTTTGACTTCTTTCTTACTAGTTTGCGTCTCTGTGACTTCCTTTTGTTTTCTTACTGCTCTAGCTAGGGCATAGAGTATAATATTGAATAGATATGGAGAGAGTAGACAGCCTTGTCTTGTTTTTGATTTTAGTGGAATCACTGAGTTTTTCTACATTAATTTGATATTAGGCATTGGCTTGCTGTATGATGTTTTTATTATGTTTAGGTATGTTCCTGTTATCCTGGATCTTTCCAAGACATTAACTATGAAGGGGTGTTGGATTTTGTCAAAGGCTTTTTCAACATCTAGTCAGATGATCATATAGTTTATCTTTTTCAGTTTGTTTATATGGTGGATTACATTGATAGATTTTTATATGTTGAACCATCCCTGCTTCCCTGGAATGAAGCCTACTTGATCATGGTGGATGATTTCTCTGATGTGCTCTCGGATTCGATTTGCCAGTATTTTATTGAGTATTTTTGCATCAATGTTCATGAGGGATGTTGGTCTGTAATGCTCCTTCTTAGTTGTGTCTTTGTGTGGTTTAGATATCACCATAATTGTAGTCTTGTCAAAAGAGTTTGGCAATGTTCCTTCTGTTTGTATTGTGTGGAACAATTTGAAGAGTATTGGTACTAGCTCTTCTTTGAAATTCTTTGAAATTTCTTTGAAATTCTGTGCTGAAACCATCTGGTCTTAGTTTTTTGTTTTTGTTTTGTTTTGTGGGGGAGACTTTTGATGACTGTTTCTATTTCCTCAGAGGTTATAGTTCTATTTACATTATTTTGTTTATCTGCTCTTGATTTAATTTTGATATGTGGCACTTATCCAGAAAATTGTCCATTTCTTTAAAATTTTTGAATTTAGTGGAGTAGAGACTTTTGAAGTATGACCAGATGATTCTCTGGATTTCCTCAGTGTCTGTTTTTATGTCCCCATTTTCATTTCTGATTTTGTTAATTTTCATGTTCTTTCTCTGCCTTTTGGTTGGTTTAGATAAAGGTTTGTCTATCTTGTTGATTTTTTTCCAAAGGACCAACTTTTTGTCTCATTAATTTTTTATATTGTTTTCTTTGTTTCTATTTTATTGATTTCATCACTCAAATTGATTATTTCCAGCCATCTACTCTTCCTGGCTGAGTTTGCTTCTTTTTGTTCTAGAGCTTTTAGTTGTTCTGTTAATTCACCAGTGTGGGATTTCTCCAGCTTTTTTATGTAGTGCTATGAACTTTCCTCACTTAATTCTGGGTATGTTGTATAGTCATTTTCTTGATTTTAGGAAGCCTTTATTTTTTTTCTTCTTCTTCTTCTCCTCCTCTTCCTCCTTCTTTTTATATTTCTTCCTTGTCCCATTGGTGATTCAGTTGAGTATTGTTCAATTTCCATGAGTTTGTGTGTTTTCTGCAGTTAGTGTTGCTATTGAGTTTTAACTTTAAACCATAGTGATCTGATAAGAGGCAGGGGGTTATTCCAATTTTTAAATATCTGCTGAGATTTGTTTTGTTACTGAGTATGTGGTCAATATTAGAGAAGGTTCCTTGGGATGCTGAGAAGAGGGTGTATTCTTTTATGTTTGGGTGAAATATTTTATAGATGCCTGTTGTGGGATTATCTTTTGCTTGTGCTCTTGTGGGTATAGCTAATTTCCTTCTAGTACTTTCTGTAGGGCTGGATTTACAGGTATTGTTTAAATCTAGTTTTGTCAAGGAATATTTTGTTTTCTCCATCTATGGTGACTGAAAGCTTTGCTGGGTATAATAGTGTGGGCTGACGTCCATGGTCCCTTAGTGTCTGCATAACATCTGTCCATGACCTTGTGGCTTTCATCGTTTCCATTGAGAAAGTCATGTGTAATTCTAATAGGTCTGCCTATATATTGTAGTTAGCCGTTTTCCTTTGCAGCTCTTAATAGTCTTTCTTTATTCTGTATGTTTAGTGTTTTGAATATTATGTGGCGAGAAGACTTTCTTTTTTTTTTGGCCCAGTGTATTTTGTGTCCTGTAAGCGTCTTGTACTTTCGTAGGCATGCCCTTCTTTAGGTTGGGAAAGTTTTCTTCTATGATTTTGCCGAATGTATTTTCTGTGTCTTCAAGCTGGAATTCTGCTCCTTCTTCTATCCCTATTATTCTTAGGTTGTGTCTTCTCACGGCGTCCCAGATTTCCTGAATATTTTGTGTTAAGAATTTGTTGGATCTAACTATTTCTTTGATGAATCTATTGCCTCTTGTGTATTCAGTGCCCGAGATTCTCTCTTCCATCTCTTGTATTCTGTTGTTTATGCTTGCATCTGAGTTCCTGATCATTTTCCCAGACTTTCCATTCCCAGAATTTCCTCAGTTTGTGTTTTTTTTATAGCCTCTATTTCATTTTTTAAGTCTTGAATTGCTGCCTTTGCTTGTTTGATTGCTTTTTCTTGCTTTTATTTTAGGGATTTGTTGATTTCTTGTTTTTGTCTGTCTTTTCCTCCATATCTTTAAGGGAGTTTTCATTTCCTCTTTAAGGGCATCTATCATCTTTTTAAAGTAATTTTTAAGGTCATTGTCTTCTGCTTCCTCTGTGTTGGGACACTTAGGTCTTGCTGTTGTAGAGCCACTGGTTTCTGGAGATGCTATATTGCTCTTTATGTTATTGAGTGTGTTCTTATCTTGCTGTCTACACATCTCCTCCTCTAATTGGTACGGGTAGAGCCTGTGCTTCAGGGGGTCCCTCTTTCTCCAATTGGTGTAGCTGAGGGCTGTCACTCTGTTGATTGCTCCTCCAGGAGCAGGCAGGGCTGAGTCTGTGATAACAGCTCCTGTAGGTGCAGGTGGCTTTGATGCTCCAGAGGTCACTGATGCTGCTGGGTATCCCGTACACAGAGTGGCACTGGAGGCTGGCTGGGACACAGGTGCTCTTTCCCAGAAGACCTTCTTACTGTTGTTTCTGGCAGCCACCGCTGTCCATGCTTCTGGGCTGCCCAGCTGATGTGCCTCTTTCTGCTCCGTGGTTGGTCTTGGCCTGCCTGGTCCTGCTCACACACCTCCTTCCTCTTCCGGGTTAGTAGGGGGGAAGGAATTTCAAATGTAGAAAGGTCACACTGAAGGAGAGGATGGTGGCTCTTTACATGGATTTTAATTCTTTAAAAATTGCTTTCCCCTTGGGTCTGGAGAGATGGCTCAGCTGTTGAGAGCACTGACTGATCTTGAAGAACCCAGGTTATGTTCCCAACACCTACAGGGCGTCTCACAACAATATGCAACTCTAGTCCCAGGGCGTCTGAGATCCTTTTCTGGCCTCTGTGGACACTGCAGGCAGGTAGTATGGAGACATACATGCAGGGAAGGATCCACACAAATGAAATAAAAATAAAGGAGAAGAAAATTGTTCTTCTATGCTATTACTAGCGCAACTTGTGTATATTTTATGGAGGGACACACATATGTATTTGACATGTCAAATACAAACACACACACTTATGAATGAGCGCATCTTTTTAAAGATGCCTGTTGGTCTTTTAACACATCGGTTATACAGTAATACAAGCACAGATTATGTTAAAGTGTTGAAGAGCAAGGTAGCACATTTGCAGCCTGCATTCAGTACGTCTAAATATGCTCACACACACGCAGGAACTGCAGTTTAGATGTTCAAGTTTGATCCAGTTTTGTTTCTGTTGCTGTGACGAAATACTCCAGTGAAAAGCAGTTTCAGGGAGAAAGGTTTGTTTCAGTCTATATTTCCAGGCCATGGTCCATCATGACAGGGAAGTCACACGACACAGCCTTGGGAGAACGGGCCGTACGTATCATGTCCGCACTCACGATGAGAGAGAAGTCGATGCACACATGCTTGCTCTTGCGCTCAGCTTGACTTCTATCTAATTCAGGACGTATGGTTGGCTGGGTCTCCCCACATCAGTGAACATTAGTAGTCAAGACAGCCCCGCCCACATGCCTACAGGCTAACCCAATGTAGACAATTCCTCACTGGAAATGTCTCCCTAGGTGATTCTCCCTTGTGTCAAGTTGACAAAGCACCATCACGCTAAGTGGAACTATATTGTAACTTTCTGAACTATTAACATCCAGTGTCACAAAAAGTGTTAAAATAAAAAAAAACTGTCTTCAAGTAAGCGAATGTGAACGTGAGTTAAGATGAGATGAAGATTTCCCTGTGTGTCTTCACAGCTATTGTTCCTGATATCGATGAGATTGCAGCCCGGGCAGAAACCATGTTTGCTGGAAGGTACTGTAATGAGTCTTTATCTTACCTTGGATTTTATCTAGTTAGTTATCATTCGTCTTTTTGTACATGTTTAGGTACCCCAGTTGCTGCTAACATAATTTCTGCCAGAGGTGGAGCTTGGAATTTACAGGAAAGAACATGACTCTTGAGACACCTTAGACAATGGGAGAAGAGAGAGCCATGTATTTAACTTTCTCAGAATTCTTGGCTTTTCCTTCCTTAGATGGTGACAGCACACAGATGCCCTTTAGCTCCTCCGATAGAAACACTGTGGTAACTTGTAACGCATTGCATCTCAGAGTCTTAGATGGCTGTGGCAAGGATGTAGTGTCTTTTGATGTTACCCTTAACTTTATGCATGAGAAGCCAGGCATTTCATGGCACTTAGTGTCCTTGATGGAAGAAAATAAGGTGCCGAGGCATGACCTTTGCTGCCACATCCCTGGCATGTATACCAAGTTTATTTTTTCAGAAATTCAATACTAGCGATCAAAATGAAAAAGTAGATCTCAGCTAGAATTACTGAGATTCATTTTTATTACAGACCTTAGGTGACCCAAGGAGATAGAAATGTGCACACTGAACTCTCTACTGCCTCTTTTTTTTCCTAGAAGGGGGAAAAGAATTAAGAATTAACATAACTGTAAGATCCACAGTTTCATGCTAGCCTGGGCTGCATAGTGAGACTCTGTCTATGGGAGGAGGGAGAAAGGAGGTAGGGAGGGAGGAGGGAGGGAGGAGGGAAGGGAGGACAGAGCCCCCAGAAGATACATTGTTTAGTGCACATTTAATATTCCTTTATTTTTCCTATTGCTATGATTTCCTCTTGAAATGTCTTATCATTCTAGGACAGAAAGATAAATCCAGCCTATGATTTTATCTTAAAACACAGACCTGAGCGCCATAATGTCTATGTCCCTTTGGCCAAAGATGGCTCCAGGTGATAGATTGTTGACGATAGACTTGTGTTCTGTTAAATGGCAAGGACTGAGAAATTCCCAGAGCCTTCCGCTTGTTAGGTCACAGTGTGCTAGTGTTTGTGGAGGGGCTTGCGGAAGGCCCCGCGTAGCCAACTGTGTAGCGTGTGGCACATGCACTCACATGCAGAATGTAGTGCTTGAGAGTGATTGCTACTGGCTTATGCATTGAATATATTTTTATACATGTCTGTATGCATGTGAGTTTGTGTGTGTGCTTGTGAGTGTGTGAGACAGTGTATGTATGCATGTGTGTGAGTATGTGTGTGCACATGTATGAGTGTGTGTATGTATGCGTGTAAGTACGTGTGCATGCATGTGTGTGAGTGTGTATGTATGTGTGTATGTAAGCATGTATGTATGTGTGCATGCATATGTGTGAGTATGTGTGAGTATGTATGTGTGAGTGTGTGTATGTATGCGTGTATGTATGTATGTATGTGTATGCATGCGTGTATGTATGTATGTGTGTAAGTATGTGTGCATGCATGTGTGTGTATGTAAGCATGTATGTATGTGTGCATGCATGTGTGTGAGTATGTGTGAGTATGTATATATGTGTGAGTGTGTGTATGTATGCGTGTATGTATGTGTGTGTGTATGTATGTGTGTAAGTACATGTGCATGCATGTGTATGAGTGTGTGATCAGCAGCAGCTCCTGCCCCTTGTCTCCTGACGGCATCACTTCTCCTGTGTTTTATTTAACCTTGTGCTGCTTTGTTCATCATGATCCAAGATGCAATACATTACAATCTGTCACCTATGTATCGATCACCTATTTATATACCTACAAATACCTATCATTTAAAATTCGCCTATGTATCTGCGTATCATCTATGTATGTTCATGTATGTATCTGCGTATCATCTATGTATGTTCATGTATCTACCACCCGTCTCTTTCATCTCTCTCTCCTCCCTACCTGTGTAACCCACACGTCTATCATAACGCAGGTGTGTGATGGGCTCTGGAGGCTTGCATAATGCCCTCTGTCATGCTTGCCCAGTGCACAGCCCACCAGCAGCAGCACATGCCCTAGAGAGATCGTTCACCCCAGTGGAATCTGCTTCATTCCACTGTGCCACCAAGCACACAGACTTGCCCGTGTCTGATCTCTTGGGCTCTGGGCCATCGGTTGACATTATTGATAAATGCTTTCGGAGAAGGTGACTCTTTGAGGGATGAGGAGAGAAGGGGAAGGGCAAAGAGGACAAAGGAGAGCGGGATCCGAACCAGCAATGAACTCTGTATGAAAATGTCATGACGAAAGCCATTCTGTTATATGCGAAGAACAGTGAGTGAAAAATGGTGTAGGGATCACTCAACGCGTGTTTTCCCTGTGCTGTGTTCATTAACTCTTGAGGTTGGCTGAGGGACCCTCTTTGTCTTTGTCCCCTCATCAATTACACACGATTAAGAAGTAACAATGTCTTCCTCTCCACCTCTTATTTTGGGAAAACGGGGGTTTAAGTTTAAAAACGCAGATGTAACATAAATGACTTAAACATAGATGTCACGTGCTGTGTTAACTTAGAATTGCTTTTGGTTTTGTAGAAAGGAGAAGACTCCAGTTCAGCTCGATGACGAAGGAGGCAGGACGTTCTTACGGGTCCTCATCCACTTGATCATGCATGACTACCCTCCGCTGCTGTCGGGAGCCTTGCAGCTGCTATTCAAGCACTTTAGCCAGAGAGCGGAGGTGCTGCAAGCCTTTAAACAGGTGAGCTGGGGCTGGGCCCCTGCTTGCTGAGCACACGCGGACTCTGGGTTTAGTCTTCGGCTCTGTACCCAAGAGGACGAACACCTAAGATGGAGGGCCCAGACTTCCGACGGAGTTTGAACCCCAGCCTGATGGTAGCTGCAGATGAGGCTGTGTTCCTTGGACTCTCTCTCACTCTGGAGCACAGGCTGGCCCAGAATTCAGTTTATTGCTCGGGTTGACCTTGAACTCTTGGCAATCCCCCTGCCTCTGTCCCTGAGTGTTGAAGCTGCAGGCGTGCACTGTAATACCTGGCTTGTGACTCTGTGCTTTGAAAGGCAGATGTGGTCTTGTCTGTGCATAGACAGGACCTGCTTTAGAGTGAGCCTCCCACAGGTGATCTTCAGGCAGGTTCTTTATAAGAATGGCAGACTCTAACATTTAAGAGGTGCTGTGGAACAGTGACCTATTAGAGACTATTTGCCACTGCTTTGACTACAGAGCTTAATGAAGCCATAGCTTCAAAATAAGTATTTTGAGGTTAAAAATTTAGAACTTCCAAAGAAAGGAACTGCAATGGGGGATCCAGTTTATCTTCTGTGGTGGGATCCATCCTGTCCTATGATGGGATCCATCCTCTCCTGTGATGGGATCCATCCTGTCCCCTGTGATGGGATCCATCCTCTCCTGTGATGAGATCCATCCTCTCCTGTGATGGGATCTATCCTATCCTCCATTTAGAAGGTCTTGCCTGTCTTCCATGATGTTCAGATTACACATTAATCTCACAGTAATACCTCACTGATGTTTGGTGTTTAGAAGAGTGTGGACCTGTATTAGGAGCTTTGCAGGAAGATGCTAACAGATATGAAGGAGTTAATGCTAGCCATTTAGTTGCACATGTTTTATATGTGTGTGCCATGTATAAATTATAAAACGTGTGGTGGTCTCAAGCTCCAAAACTGCTGTTTGTACGAGCAAATGTTTATTGTAGCCATTAACATTTTCTTCCATGGGTTTTTATGATTTGACTTTTCAAACAGATCTGTCTAGAAAAACCTCAGAAAAATGAACTTGAACCATGAAATTAGAGTTAGATTATCTTGTAAAAGAATATTTGTTTACTTTTGATTTATTTACATGGGTATTTGCACTCATGTATGTGCACCTTGCGTGTACAGTACCCATGGTGTCCAGCAGAGTTTTCAGGTCTCCAGGAACTGGAGTTGCAGGAGGTTGTACCCACCATGTGGGTTCTGGGAACTGAGTTTGGACTCTTTGTAAAAGCAACAGGTGCTCCTAATCCCTGGGCCATTTCTCCACTTCCCATACTTTATGTCAAATCATTTGTCAGCATTTTGAAAGCTTTTTGAGAGCACACACCTAAGAATTCCTTTTCACATGTGAACATATCGGTTGGAGATCGTGAATGTTTGCAGGAAGGTTTTTCAGCCAACATGCACATAAATATCGGTAAGTGTTCTGTAAATGCTGAACTTCGTCTAGTGAATGTTTAAAGATGGGATTCCATGTGTGCAGGGACCAGGAATACAGCGAGCTGGGAGAGAGTTTTAAGGGGCGACATGCTTCTGTGTTTAGGTGCAGTTACTGGTGTCGAACCAAGATGTCGATAACTACAAGCAAATTAAGGCAGATCTCGACCAGCTTCGGCTGACGGTGGAAAAATCTGAGTTGTGGGTTGAGAAGAGCAGCAGCTACGAGAATGGAGAGATGGGCGAAGGCCAGGCCAAAGGAGGCGAAGAGACAAACGAGGTTTGTTTCCAAGATCGCTTTCAGGGAAAAAATCATTTATTTTTAATTGACGTATATGAGTATCTGTGAGCCACACCTGTAGTACCCATACATGCCAGAGGGGGCACCATACCCCCTGAACTGGGATACAGAGCATTGTGAACCATTGCATAGGTGTTAGGAACCAAACGTGGGTCCTGTGGAAGAGAGGCTGCTGCTCTTACCAATACGAGAAACATATTTACAGAATGACATCTCCCATCGCTGCTTTGTGGCCATGTCCGAGGCTGCGTCGTCTGCCACCATGTGTAGACTCACTCTTTGGAAGCATGGGGTGTAACAGTGTATATGAAGCTCTCAGGCAAGAGTCACATCTGCTGGAATTTTCCTTTTGGCTCCCACAATTCCTGGGAGATGTCTTCCAGTTTCCTCCTGGCATCTAGGGCGCACATGAGCTCATTTAACTGGCACGGGCTGAAATTGATTTAGAGAGGCCAGTGCTGGCTGTAGGCAGTTAAGTGAAGGAAGAAGGCCTGCATTAAATCCCAGAGCAGAGATGATACCACAGAGGCGATCAGTAGTGGGCATGGAAGGGCTGGGACCAGACACCCCAAGATCTACTGCTGCGCATATGTGCCACTCAGAGTAACTTGCTTAGAGTTTTCAAGATTTATTTTTGTCATCTACAACTCGGACAGTACAGTATACTGTAAGGAGTCAGTGAGCCAATCCGTGACAGTGTGTGTGTGTGTATGTATGTGCGCGCGCGTGCGTGCATGCGTGCACATGCGTGTGTATGCTGGTGAGGGGTGTTTGTTTGCTTATCTCCCATCCTCATTACTGTTGATTTTGTACAGCTAATGTCCTTGTTGTTATCTGGATTCCACCAGGGGACTTAGAAGATTATTATTATTACTGTTATTACTATTATTATTTTAGATTTGTCACCTTATTTCTTCCTGTTTAGGAAAAGCTGAGTTTTGTTCAGGCAGGGAATGAGTTCCTTCTTGTCCGTGTCCAGACAATGCTGCTGGACTGTGGAGGTTGCTCAGTGATTAACACTTGCTGAACAAATGTGAGAGCCAGGAGTTTGGATGTCTGTGTAAGAGCTGCAGGGCACAGCAGGTGGCCCGTAATTCCAGCATCAGAAGGCAGAGATGTAGAGTCCCCATAGTAAGCCGACGAAGTAGATTTAGCCGTTGGTTGGACGTCTTTTTGGTTGTGAGACATTCCAGCTGCTTGCTTGCAGATTCTGAGTCTGATGTTTTGATATCCGGTAGATGTAGACTTTAAGTAGAAAGAAGGTGCTTTCCTTCTTGGGGCAACTGTAGTTCTCCAGACTGTTGCCAGGGGGCGCTGCTAGTCTGAGCCCACAGACATCCCCAGCTGCTAGCCTGTCTCAAATCAGGCATCTCAGGTTTAGAGCCTAGAATGTTGACACTTGCTTAGAGCCTGGGTCCTGGGCTGCAAAGCTAACATTGGCATCTGCCTTCTGGATGGTCAGTCCACAGCCCGTAGATTGGAGCCCTCTGGTAATGGCCCTAGCTTAGGCGATGGAGGGGGCAGTTGTCCCAGAGACCAGAAATGTTGTAAATTACCTTGATATCCAGAACCTAGTTTCTTTGTAGGAAGGCTTCTCTGCAGAAGCTCTTGGGTCTCTTCAGGCTTTGAGTGTTTTTTTTTTTTTTTTTTTAATTGTTATTACGAAGGTACATTCTATGTGCAATTCCTCTGAGGTCTCAATTTAATCTCGAGAACTTCTGTTTTGTAACCTCATTAAATACAATCTTTGGGGGACTCTTTAGGAATGGGAATCCTAGCCCAGATCCTGAAGTGGGTTTCTCTTTGTGTACAGGAGCTGGAGGGGTAACCCCTTAGGCCCTGGCCAGGGCAAAAGCCAAGCGGTGTGCGTGTCCTTTGCCTGTCTTGAGGGCTGTTCCGCTGACTCACTACTGTGATACTTGTGATAGTTGATATTTGTGGCTCTGTGGCTTCTGGCCAGAATTTTCATCTTTCTTGGCAGCCAGGCTTGCCCCCGTCCTCCTCCCTCCCTGCTCCACCCTCCATATTAACACTCAGACTCTAGGTTGCCAGCGTGGGCTTTGGCCCCAAGGGGCATCAGTGAATCCTGGACTTCTTACTGCTCTGAAATTTTTTATTAGCTTTCATGGTTTCTGGCTTCCTACTGAAGAGAGGCATCTTAAATACTTTATCTGTCACCTTTGGATGCTGTCTAGAAGGGGCTCATCGTATTCTGCCCGACAGTTGTGAGCAATAGTCAGCCTTTCAGTGTTTTAAACCCCGGTATCTGTAGGTGCTGATGTTGGCTATGGACCACATGGGCCACAGCTGAACTTTTCACCCCCCTTGGCTAGTGTTTGCATTTCTCTGGAGTATCGTCTTCCTATCAAAGTCTCTGTCCAGTGTGCTATGGGCCCCTTTACCCACATGCTCACCCCCTTGGCACACACAGAATTTCTCATTTTCATTCCTAAAGTTTGAGGTCTGGACCCAATCTAACATCCCAGATATGGCTCTTGTTTCTGCAGACGTGAGCACCTATAAAACAGTGTGACAAGATTCACATGCACAGTACAGGCTTGCTTTGTATTCAAGAATAATAGGAACAGGAGTAAGCGATTCGTATTAGAAATGGCTGGGAATTGGGTGAGCCGGAAGAGTTCCAAGGAAGGACCAAGTGGATTCCAGAATGCTTCTGAAGAATCCAGACACTTCAGAAGGACTAGGATTGAGGTGGGGGCATCTGTCAGCCTTTTGCACATGACCAGATGTGAGCCTGTGAATACACAGGGGTAGGAGGGGATGGGGACGGAGGCAAACGTGTGGACGGAGAAGCCCGAGGCACCCGTGTGTAATGGAGTAATTTCAGGAGAAGAAAGAAAACGCTTACGCGGATGAATAGTCCACATTGCGGGTGAACCAGCGGCCAAGGGCAGTGGTAGCATACAGGATGAAATCCATCGCGTGTCAGTGGGAATAGCCTGTGGCAGGCAGCATGAATTCCAGCAGGCCGTGGGCACAACAGTCCTTTGTGTCTGGAGTCAGCACATCAGAGCCATCTGGCCCTCAGCTGCCTAAGTGTTAGCGGGCAAACAGAGTGACTCCTGAGCTTCATGTAGGTAATAAAAATGTCTTCAAAAACTGAAAGTTTCAATTTTTTATTTGTTTATAAGTGATGCTGATTAAAAATATTTACACTCCTATTTTAAAGCCCACAGCTTAGGTTTCTCAGCATGGGCTCTTTAAGGGCCTGGGGGAAAGACGAAACAAAAACAAATAGACCCTTATATTGGCAGATCGCCATGCCTGCCCCAAATAACACACAGACTCTGTATTAGATATGATGCTGTTGGACGGTTACTAGTTTCTTATCAGCTACCTCTGTCTTAATGATTAACCGATTTCTATTAATCTAAGTATTTCCACGGGGTCTCATCTTACCGGGGCCAGCGTCTGGTCTCCCCAGTCTCTCCATGCTGACTCCTCTTTACTACTTCCTCTAATCCTCCTTGTCTCCTAGTCCCACCTATCTTGCTTTCCTATTGGCCAGTATGAGGAACATATTTACAGAATGACATCTCCCATCATCTCCTCTTTTCTGTCTAAATAAAAAGAAGGGTTTTAACCTTAATATAGCAAAATATATCACACAATAGTTACCAAGTAAGAATCACAGTTAACAATATTTAGTCCATTAACATTTAGCAAGATTTGAAGAAAATATTTCATCATCTATCCTATCTTTGTGAGTCTAAAGTCCTATATGTAACTTATCCTAACTAAGGAAAACTATCTGTCTTTAACTCCCTCAAAAACTACAGAAGGATAATATATAAACTCTAGAAATGACAGAGACAACTCATTGCCTGGTCAGTCACCCGAAGTTCTTCTGTAATCTTCCATCTTCAGCCAATAGGCCATAGTGTGTCTGGCAGACTCTTCAGCAAAGCAGGAAATTTTAAACTGTCTTCTTGTAGTGGCAGCTTGTCCGTCATTTTTCTCTGTGTCCTGCAGACTGTCTGGCAGACTCTTCCATGAAGCAGGAACTCTGTAGTAATGTCCATCTTGAATCAGCAGTCACTTTTCTGTGGGTCCTGCATGTCCAGTTTATACAGCATAATGTCAAACAGTCCAGACAAGAGCAGTATCTTGTCCAAATGGCTAGTCTTGCCATATTGGAAGTAAACGTGTTTCTTCGATATCCATCTTCCTTTCTTACATAGATGGTGTTGCCAGGAGCATTTATGTCTCACTGTCAAGAAAAACCCTAAACTATTTTAAATGCCATATTCTGTAGGTCTTTGTGATTTATGTTGAATACATTAAATCTAAAAAGAGTTCATGCTGTTTTTTCAGTCTGGTAAAATACCAGTGCAACTTCTCATCAAAGTCAAGTTTAGCGTCGATGAAAGTGAACTTAGTTAAAAGCGAGAGATTTCAACAGAATTTAAACAAAATGGAATCGGTAGGCATCACCACAGGCAAACTGTGAAATGCCTGTCTTTGTGTCCTTGGGAACACCAAATTATCCTGTTGCTGGAGCTGATGTCCGATGATCACAGAAAAGGGGCCAGGTTCCACATCCAGTGTCTGTCAGCCATGCTCCTGCATACCCCAGCGTTTCCCTTATCCTCCCCAATGTGTCATCTGGGGGAGCGTGGGTACCACTGCCATCCAAAGGTCTATAGGCCGGAGGATGGGCTGGGGGCAGCTTTAGCAAATGGCTAACTCATCACCTTCAAATATGTGTTTTCTGAATTTAGGAGGGAGATTCAGTCAGGGAAGTGCCTCCGTGGGGTAAGCAGGGTTGTCCTTCCTGCTCACATCTCTCTATTAATCTGTGAAGCAGGCCACCGGAGCATCTCCCCGTTCCCGAGAGAAGGAGAAGGCCTCATTAGGGGTATTTTCTTGGTAATTATTTCCACCATGACTTTGTTTCTGTTTTTACATATTTCTTTCTATGCACCTATGTAGTTTCCAGGGTCTCCTTTTATTTTAAA